ATTCAGTTTTATGCTATTAGTACTGATTCTGCCTGAGATAAGAGCTTCTTGAACATGTGCAGTGTACAAGAGAGTTCAATTGAACTGATAATGTACCCTTACATTATTCAGTTTTATGCTATTACTGCCATGGTAAGATGGGTTCCATACTGCATTATAGTAATCATTCACAACACTGTGGACAAAGATTGTTATAGCACAATTATAGTACAATATCCCACACTGTGTAGGTGAGCCTTCAATGAGAACACACAATTTTTTAAAAAAGTAAACAAAATTTGATGCACTGATGTCATTATGGGATTGCGTATGCATTAAAAGCAGGGAAGCATCCACTGACATTAGCAGAAGTTCCATTTAGGATCATTACAGGTTATAACTGTGTAGCCCAATGCTACAGTTTTTTTATCAGAAGCGTTCAGTGGGCTCACTCCCAAACATGTGATATGATGTCATATTACTTGGAACTCATCCTTGATTTACTTGGTGAGATTTGAATGCATAGTGAAAAAACTTTCCAATTAAACTACAAAGACCGTCTTTTTAACCTCAGTATTTTCAGTATTATTTTTAAGTCATTCATAACAAAACATACAGGAATGCAAGCTTTTATATAGATACAAAAAGAGCCTCCCGCTCTCATGAATCACATTAAGTTAAATACAGCTATAATGCTTACTGTCCTGGCTGGTAGCCTTTTTTTTAAAATGAGTTTTATTATTTTCAAACAAAACAAGACAAACATAAAACATATGAGAGTAATACAAGTAACACTATACCCTTTAAACTACCTCATACATATATATCTAAATGCCGCTCTTGCTACCATGATATGTTTACTATTTGAGCAATATCTAAACATTCCACTGCTATTTTTCTATACATCTATCTTTAAGTTTTACAACTCCATAAGTTAACATGTTTTCTACTGATTAACTTTTTGTCTAAGCGTTCTACAATTCTACAAAATACATTTAAGTAGCATTTCCCTACTTCATATTAAAATTATATTTGATGCTTTTTATACAAATTATCAAGGCTTCTGGAATCTTTAAGCTAAGATTAAATGCATTACATCTTTTATAACAAATTTGAACTTTAACATCTCAAAAAATTTACATTCTATATAGTTATCAATTATCAATCTTAAGCAATCTTATTCAATTAAACATTCACAGATATTCCCTAGACTGGATTTTTTTTCTTATACAATTCATACTCTTTTTGGTTAAACTATTTGAGAGATTAGTTTTCCTCTTTCCATAAGTATTTTAAATGTGGACTAAGTTATGTATAAACACATATCCTTCAGCCAAACTTAAACAATTAATATGAGCTAGTATGCACTAAACCAGTCTTACCCAAAATTCCTTGAACCAAACTCAGATTATTATTTTTATTAAAAAAATTATATAAACCTTTAAAATTAATCTTCCCTTAATTTTTTAATATAGGCTATAAGTTTTTCTAGCTCATCTTAACCAGTCTCTAGACCAATCTTATAACAGAGTCCCTAAACCAATCTTGTTCTTATATCTTAGTTTTTTTCTTCTTTTTGCAATTTTCTTCTTTTTAGTAGAGCCTTGGATCTATGCCTCTTCTCCTTGTATGTAGAAAAGCTTTATTTCATGATTTGCCATCTATATTCAATGTTCAAGTTTGTTTCATCTTCTCTCTGGTATATTTTCTTTCTTATACTTGTACTTCTAAGGGTTCCAGAATTTGACAGTCCTTTAGTAGAGCTATTATTCTCACTGCTGAAATCAGCTTGATTCCCACCGAAGATTAGTTCCTCTTGAGTGTAGTATTGCCCTGTGTCTTGCACAGTTGGACGCTGTAATTCATTTTCACTGTAATTTAGGTCAGCTTGGTTGCAAAGTATTTCAGCTTTTTGCTCAGTTTGACGCTAAGGTTCCTTGCCAGTGATTTGGTTTAAAGCTGAAGGCTTTTGGTCTAATATCAGTTCAAAAGCCTTGTTAATTGCCTGGGTCACTGATTCAATAATCACAGCCTGGATCTCCTCCCAAGATATTTGAAGCTTCTCAGATTCTACTGAGGTCTCCATATCTGAATCATCTGGCATGTTTTCCTGAGGGTGCTGATAGCGCATTTCAATACAGTAACAAAAGTCTCAGTCTCAGTTCAGTCTAGCAAAGTCCAGCATCTCTATAAGTCGCTCACCAGCTGTCTCTCTCAAGCTGCCTGCGTCTGCCAGACAATAGTCACCTCAGCAGTCAACAGTCTCACATACAAGCAAAATGTTTCACAGCTTTATGGTAAAGACTAAACAGAGTGTGCTTCTATTCTGTTCTCAGCAGTAAAGCATGATGTCACAAAGAATTGTCGCAAGATGGTGAATTTCACTCTGTATATATTTCTTTCTTTTTTAAGAAGAAAAATTATAGTTCTCTTGTAGAAGCTCAAGCAAAAGTCTCTCTTTGCCCCAGAAAATGTTTATCTCAAGATTCTTTTTGTGACTCTTAATCTTGTCTCTGCCGCTTCACTCAGAAAAGGGGGACGGGGAATTCTACCTCTCCTTTCTGTATTGTTTTGAAGATTTAAAGGGGCTTATTCGGAGAAATCATCAGATTCTTCAATGTGCTATTACAGATACTTACGGTGCGTGTCTTCATAGGATGCTATGGATGAGGCTCAAAATAACTTTTAGTTAGGAGCATTCACAGCTGGTGCAGGTTATGGCTGCTAAACCTGCTCTTCTTCATTCCGTGCTTCTGGGATGATCCAGGGCTGCCACCCACTTGTTGCTGCAAGTGGGGCCCCTGAATCAAGTCCCTTGCACCAGACCTCCCTCCAGGAGGTCTGGTGGGGGTTAGGATCCCCCGAAACCCACCCTAAAAGAACGAAGAATCAGTGGTAGCCGGGAGCAATTCCCGGTGCCCACTGAATTGCTGCGCTGCAGCCATGACTGGTAGCCTTGATAATCTGCTCTCTTTGTTGCCCCACCCCTATGTCTAAGATATGCTGCTTGTGTGCAAACTTAGCAGACACCTCTCTGAGATGGCTTCTCAAAATAGTTGGGGAAGGGAAGTAGACACAGAAGCAGTCAGATCTTCTGCCTCCCCCTCCCGTCTTTAAAAAGCCATGCAAGAGACTTAGAAGGCATGCAAGGAAGGACCAAATATCTATTTTTCTTCCTCTACACCAGGGGTGGCCAAATTGCAGCTTGGAAGCCGTATACGGCTCTTTCACACATATTGTGTGGCTCCCAGCAGGGTGGCATGCGTCCTCGATCAGTCTTCCCTTCCCTAGCTAGTGTTCTCCTTCCTGGGTAGGCTTGAGGTGGGGGTGACCAGAGAAAGAAAGCAACTTTAAATGCATTCCCAACCCCCCCCCCTCTGGTCGCTGGCTTGGAGAAGGCATTTGTCTCTTTAAATCCCTTCTTCAAGCCAAGCCAGCTGGGGGGGGCTCGAAGGACATGTTTAAAGTTGCTTTCTTTCCACCTCTCCCCCATCTAATTTCCTTCCTTCCTTCCTTCCTTCCTTCCTTCCTTCCTTCCTTCCTTCTCTCTCTCTCTCCTTTCCTTCTTTTGTTCTCTCTCTTTCTCCTTCCTTCCTTCCTTGCTCTCTCTCCTGCTCTCCTTCTTCCTTCCTTCACAGTTCTGTGTGTCATCCCCCCCATACCTACCAATCCAAAACAGTCCACTGGCACATTTAAGACCAAGTTCTATTCAGGTACAAACTCACCCTCCTCCGAGTTTAAAGGTGCTTTCTTTCCACCTCTCCCTTCCTCCTTCCCTCCCCATTTATTTGCTTTCTTTCAACCTCTCTCACTTTCCCCCTTCCTTCCTCCCCCATCAGTTTGCTTTCTTTCCACTTCTTTCTTTCCACTTTTTTCTCTCTCTCTCTCTTCCTTCCTTCCTTCTTCCCCCTCCCTCATCTATTTGCTTTCTTTGTTTCTGTTTCTCTCTCTCCTTCTTTCTTTCCACCTCTTTCATTCTTTCACCTTTCTCTTTCTCTCTTCCTTCCTCCCTCCCCCTCCCTCTCCATCTATTTGCTTTCTTTGTTTCTCTTTCCCCCTCCTTCCTCCCTCTCCCATTTTTTTGCTTCCTTTCCATCTTTATCTTTCTCTCTTTCTCCCTTCCTTCCTTCCTTTCTCTCTTTCTCCCTTCCTTCCTTCCTTTCTCTCTCTCTCTCTTCCTTCCTCCCCCCCATTTGCTTCCATATAAATATCATTGGACAAACAAATATCATTATCAATATCTGTTTTTACCCCTTTTGTTTTTATTTTTGGCAGTCTCATTTAATGTTAATAAAAAGCAATTGTGCATATTTTTCAATAAAAACATGTAATATTTGTTCCTGCCTTGCGGCTCTCAAACATCTGTTGTTTATTCTATGTGGCTCTTACGTTAAGCAAGTTTGGCCACCCCTGCTCTACACAGTGGTTACTCAGCTCCTCCTAGCAGCACATCTGTTGGTGCCAGTGCAAGACCTCCAAGCTAAATTTACTTGGTAGCTTGAGCAGATAACAGGATCACAGCCCTCACAGCCCCTCAAAGACATGCCTACATTATTGGGGTGGGGGGAAGGGGAATGAGGCTGTACAGGTAATAAGCTTTTCATAACATAAATCTTTCTCCATACTCTACAACAAGCTGGCACACTGTTGCTATTGTTAGGAAGATTAATGTTATGTTACGAACAGTGAGTAATTAAAACAGAATCTGCTGTTTGTAATGTTTGGAAAGGCAACACAAAGATTTCAAAAGTGCTCAGATGGCGATGGCATTTTTCTTTCTAATAAGATACTGTATTATTCTAAGCTTGTGCTCAGAAGCTTATGTTTGTTTCCTTTTTACTGCAGCCATCAATTCTGAAGAACATAGAATGCCAGTCCTCTTTTCTTTTTTACATTTAAATATTAAAAACCACTTAGATTTGTCTAATTAAGGAACTCTGGAGTAAAACAACTCTGCAAGTGTCTTTTTAAAAAGACACAATAACAATGACATTAGAACTTATTCAGACATATCAAATTACCTGAACATTGCAGCTGAGACAGAATCTGGGCACCTTCAAAATGATGACTCGTCATCTTTAGATTAGGCTTGATGCAGCGAATAAAGCTAGATCCCTATTGGAAAGACAGTGGGTTAGCAACACCATAAGAATATCTGTTAATCACTGAAGAGTAAAAAATTATAGATTATGAAGCTTCAGCTGTCTATTGAAACCTCAAGTTATTATTTCATCTTCAGCAAAACTAGTCCTTCGAAGAGGCATTTAAGCATAATTGCTATTGTGCTACTGAATCACATATAATTTTTTCCTCCCCTATTATGATCACCTTCCTTGCAAGACAGGAAGAAAGCTTGCAAGAGATTTTCTTGTTTCTTTTAGTACTACACAGAAGTTGAAAGCCTCCAAGGAACATTTGTGCAGTATTATTAGAATGTATTTGTTCCACAGAACTATGCTTGCTGTTGTGGAGAGACTTGAAGTGGCTACTTGAGAGGAACCACTTGGGGGCCTCTGATTAACATCTCTGAAGCTTCATCCCTACCGTTCTTCACAAGGCCTGCACTTAATCAATAGGGCTGTGTTACTTCCCCCCCCCCACGCACACACAGAAGCACACATACACACAAACAGTTTGGTTATGAAAAAAATGAATGATGCTGTGACGAAATGGCTGCCAGGCCTTAAAATGGATACTAGCCTGGTAGTTCCTTACGTGTGGTGGGGGTACTTCTTAGGGAACAGTGACGCTGCCATACCTCCCTGCCTATACTTCCCAGCATCCCTGAGGGGAAAGAGCGGGAAAAGAGAGACACACCCCAGGGGCAGGGCCAAGGAGAGAGTGGCTTTTTGGCTCCTGAGGGGAAAATGAGGCAGTCTCAGCCTGGTCTTCTGCGTGGACGGCAGGTTCCACTGAGAGCACAGGTGGGACTCCTGTCACCAGAGTCTCCGTGGGCAGTCCAGGCCACTATTGACCGTGGTGGAGAGCCAGGAGGGTGGCAGTGCTGGTAGCCAGTCCTGAACAGGAGGGCTGGAGTTTCTCTCCACAACAGGAGGGGGAAACGCAAATCCGGGCGTGAGGCCACAACCCACTACAGAGGTAGAGAGGGTGTGTGGGCAGGGACAGAGGACTTGCGTTTTTATCCTGTTTATTTTCAGTGCCCCAGTTGTGTTGAAGTGCCTGTGTTTATTTTCTGTGTCCAATATGTATATAGTTAAATAAATCTTCCTTTTTTGAGTTAAAAAAGCCTGGTGTGCCTTAACCACATAGTCCTCCCCGCTCTATACATTACCAGGGGCAAAGGGAGGCCAGGGAACACAAACGGGCCTAGATCTGTGGGGTTGCCAATTCTCCAGGGGGTGCCCAAAGATCGAGGTACCCACTTCCCAAGGTGGGGAATTTAGCCAGAGAGGTCTCACTGTCCCTCAAGGAAGGTGGTAACTTAATTCAGTGAGTGGTGGTAGCGTTAATAAAGAGAAACAGTCCCACCAGGCAGGGTGGGAAGGCCAAAATAGGGGCTTGCGAGCCACAGGACGGCACCTCAGTCTCCCAGGGCTGGGGGCGGGTCGCCGTTTCGCCACAGATGCTGACAACCATTTCTAGGGAATACAGTGTAGAAACCCTAAAACACATGCCCAAATCCTTGAATGCATCCTACAACTTATTTGTTTAGAAAGTTTCAGTCAACTGAGGTCAACTATAACCTTATAATTATGTGTATGGCCAGGGCTATTTTTGGACAGGAACGCACAGGAACGGAGTTCCGGCTGGCTCCCAAGTTGGCCACACCCAGCTGGAACTCATTAGCATAATAGGCCACACCAAACAGCAGAAACTCATTAGGATTGGCTACATTAGAGGTGTGTGGCCTAACATGCAAAGGAGTTCCTGCTACAAAAAAAGGCCCTGGGTTTTGACCACAAACAAGGTAAAGAGAATAACAAGCAAAAGGTGGGTGTGGCTGGATGACCACACTTCTGGTAACATGGGGGTGCGGCCTAATGTGCTAATGAGCTGTGCTGTCAGGGGTGTGGCCTAATATGCTAATGAGCGTCTGCTGTTGGGTGTGGCCTATTATGCTAATGAGTTCCTGCTGGGCTTTTTCTACAAAAAGAGCCCTGTTTATGGCACACATATCTGAGTAACAGATTGCTTAGGAACATAAATGTGGAATAGAAGTAGATGATACAGAACTTGGAAATTAAGCATATTACCAAGATACATACTTGAGCTGCTGTTACAGATGACAGGTTTTTAAAATTGTCATTGATCAGGAAAAATATGTTGATCAGGACAAATCAGCACACCCCACCTTCTGGTATTTCCAAAGACATTCAGGTATGGGTATATGCCAAGGGAAGCTGAAGCTAACCAGGATCTCCCTATGCCTTGTAAATGTGTGGCATGTTAATGAATTTAAAAGTATTTTATGCCGCATTTACCAATTACATCACATACAGGGAACTGGCTTTAAAAAGTTACAACTCATGAAGTAGACTTTAGATCTTACAATCATTGTTCTCCTGGACTTGCTTTGGTGTGATGCAGAGGGACCAATGGCCTGACAAACAAACAATGTCCTACCCAAAGAAAAAGTACTCATTGAAAAATGGACCAGGACAGAAATGGCTAATTTTTTAATCTGAGCATTCTTCAAATGAATTTGCAAAACCAACATGCTGGAACCACCAATGAAAATTAGTCTGAACTGACTCTTGCCAAGACTGAATCAGCCCAGCCTCTGTCTCATTTCACAACCTTGTATGTAGAAACTGTGAAGTTCCCCTCGCCCTTCTGCTGTTGTTTGGTGGCACAATGAAGCTTGGAGACGTTTCTCCATTGATCAGGGACAGGACAATGTAGCTCTGTTCCCATGCTCTAGATAGCCTCACAGAGGGTGTATCCCAGTGTTTACAAGATATACAAGACAAGAAAAGGCATGTAGGAATGCAGGAAGTTCGGCAAGCATCTACACACTGTTTTTCTTCCAGAGTGGGTATGATTTCACACACCCCAATGCCATATTTTCAAACTTCCCCACTTTTTAATGTTTTTGGTAAGCAATTTTTTCAGCCCTGCTCTAGGCCAATGTAAAATACTCCCATGGCCTATGTATCTTCTTTACTGCAACAACTTGCCTCTTCAGCAAATGTAGTTTTATTAATACAAACCAGTGCATTCATACAGTGAACCATTTTAGGTATTCATCTACATCAGATTTAGTGTGGAGCCCAAAATATGAACAAAATGAACAACATATGACACACAGCAGCTGAGATTGTGTCTGCACATGTGTTGTGTTTTACTTACAGTACTGCGGAGCTTTTCCAGCAGTAGGTTTAGCTGAGTCTGTAAAAACAAAAGCATTTGTATCAACAGGGAGATTTCCAAGCTTAACACACAGCAGAACGCATGGCTGATTGCAAGAATGGCTTCATGCTAGCTCTTCATGTGCTCAAGCAGTTGCTCAAATAGAAACAAGCAGCCAAACATGTGCATAGGTGCCCACAGAGTGTCCTTCACAGACCTGCCGCATTGGCACCAACAATCTCACTTACTACAGACTTGGTTGAACAGAGTTAGCAACACAGGCAGAAACTGACTGAACATTAGTTATCAGGCACTGCAAGTGAAACAAGCAGGTATCACAAAGGACAAGCTTATGGAAGGTGATTTTCCAATCAAGACATAAAGCTTATCACAGACTGTCCTATAGGAGGGGGTTGCATGGGGAGAGGGGGCTATACCTATGAAACTAGCATGTCCAATGTGTCAGAGAAGGCTAAGCCACAACCAATGCTCCCTCTAAGCTGTGGAGTCTTGTGAGCAAAAATTCTACTTTGTGAGCTACTGGCATTAAAGTTGTGAGTGAGCGATTTGGCGACTGCATAAATTAGTTTGCTTTGGAGCCATCCTTCCTCAGCTAAGACAAAAATGTGTGAGCTGGATGCTAAAAAACTGTGAGCTAGCTCACACTAATGCAGCTTAGAGGGAACATTGGCCACAACCCTCTTGACTGAATCTAGCCCACCGGCATACTTTAGGGAGTCTACATCAGTGAGCACAGTGTAGACAGAGAACAGTGTCTTATATACAATATATACAGAACACCCTACTTAGAAAGGCTTAAACTGTTCAGAAGACTAGTGAAACCTGCAAATTTTGTTCATCACTTGAACAAGAAGACTGAGATTCTACATTTCCTGTGTGCTAAGGAATTTTTTAAAACTGCATTATGGAGGAATTCTACTGAATGGGAACTGAGATTCTACATTTCTACATTCCTGCATTATGGAGGAATTCTACTGAATGGGTTTAATTTTAATAACTGCTTATTGTTTATAAATTTTGAACAGTTTACCGTTGATGCAATTAATAGAGTAAATAAATACATCTGTTGCCTATGTAGGGGTGGCATTCACACATTCTGTCCCCCACACCCACAGTCCGAAGTCATACAGTCCAGGAAATATTTTTGCTTCAGCCAGCTAGACCCAACCCAAGACCTTCCGCTCTGACAGAGTTCCTGGACGCACAAGGGATTCTCCAATGTCCATCCCATGGGACAGTTCCACTTGTACAAGTTCATTGCTTGCATCTTTCTTTCCTTCAGCTCCCTCACTGTCACAATGGCATGAATCCAACACTGCCATTCTATCAACCACACAAAAGGGAACAGCAACTGCAGCCAATTGCCTGACGTTCTTACTGCCCACTTTGCTGTTCCTGAGGGTCTACTGCAACAAAATCTCGGCGGATAAGTGGGCTGGAGCAGACAGGGGAAGCAGGAAAGTCCTGCTCTGCAAAGTGTGTGAATGGCTGGATTAAAACCAAGACTAGCCGCTCAGGGCCAAAGACTGGCCTGCCTGGTTTGTTTTTTTTGTGGAGGAGGGTATTCTGATAATAAGGCATAAGTAGTTTATAATCAATAACTACAACGTTCAATGAGCTATTTGCCACCAGTTACTCAGCAGGAAAGCATATAGGGGAGAGGTCACTAGAGTGCATATGGATTTCTGGATTGGAAGCAGGTAGCCTACAGCTCTTCCACCCAGTTTCCATTTACAACTCAGTATATTTCAAAGAGGTTTCTAAAGCAGATGCTACCATTTTTCACCTTCATATCTGCTAGTTAACTATCAGGGGATTTACTGGGGGGGATGAAGCTGACCGGCATTACATTTTTGCAGGGACATCTGTACAAAAATTCAAGTACACCTATAGACTTGGATCCCACCTAGATTTCTGTTGGTGCAAGGGGAGATTTTCACTGATTCTCCTCTTCCACAGGAGACCTCCAATCCCTCCCTAAGCTATTCCTGGGGGGGGGGAATCTCCCAGGAACAGCATTTTGGAGGGTGCTTTGGTTGCGTGGGAAGAAGGAATTGGCAAATATTGTTCACCCCTTGCATGCATGGAAATCTAGGCAAGATCCAAGCCATACAATTCTTTATGAACAAAAGTTACCATTCAGCAAATAAATATACTATATTGTTAATGTTCCAAACTTAATCAAGGATCTACAAATCTAGTTACTATACTAGTGCTGGAGACTAAATTTCACTATTCAGTTTCGTTATGTACCCTTCTTTCCATAAAGCTGAGTAATGAGAAGCCTTTCTGCCATTATTTATTTGAGTCTTTCCCTTTCTGTACAGCAAATGCTCTTTCTGCATGCCTAATACATTTTCCCATTAGAAATTCTCTGGGCATATTCCTGGTCAATATATCGATTAATGAGGAAAAATCAGTACAGATCTCAAAAAGCTGCTTTTAATATGGACACAATTTTGTAGTGTTATGTGAAGCAAAAGTGATGTGCTGGAAAAGAACGAACTGGCTGAAATTACAGCAGTTTGACAAATAAGCAGTCCATAAATGCGATACATTTACCTGCAGCCCTCGGTTTTACCTTTGCCTGCTTTTCCTCTCAACTTCCCTATAGCTCCCTCCAGCCATCCTGAGCTGGTATAAGCCAACTAAAATAAGAACTGATGAACGGGGAAAGGAAGCAGAAAAGAGAGAAGGCTTAACATAACGGAAGAACAGAAGTTACAGAGGTTAGATGTACAGCAAAGACCGAAGGGGAAAAAGCATCAAATACTACTGTTCAGGAAAGACAGAAATGGATTGCCCTGAGAATAATTTTCTCCACGCTATTAGAGCAACTTCTAATACTACATTCACAGAGAGGGAGAGGAGATAAATGTATAAAATTAGGTTGGTGGGAGAAAAAGGAGAGAGAGCTTTTTCTCCCTCTCTCATAATACTAGGACTTGGGAGCTCACGATGGAGTTAATGGGCCCTAGATTCAGGGCAGACTAAAATAAATTTATGAATGATTAACTTGTGGAGTTCAGAACCATGATGTAGTGATGACTATGAGGCTTTATGAGGATTACGGAACAATCCTAACCAGGTCTACTTGGAAGCAAGGCTTGTGTTATTCAGTTTGACCCACTTCCAGGAAAGGGGCCTTAAGGCTGCAGCCTTAGAGTTATCCTTGGTTATTAACCATGGAAATTCTTGATCAAAGTGGGCTGAATTCCATGGCAGCCGCTTCTGAGTAAGCATGCCTAGAACTCTACAGATAAGAGGACCATGCGATACCAAATGCACTTTATTTTTCCATCCTTACAGTCTCATTACTGCCATTTAAAACAGAATGCAGTACAAGAAAATTAATGCCTTTTGCAAGTCCATACCTTGAATTTGTTTCCCACACTGATGAAACTAAGTTTTCCTGCTTTTTGTTTAGAGTCTTTGTTGTTGTTAGTATTGGATTCAAAGAGCTGACGGATAAATTGATCTTTGGATTCACATATCAGAGATTCAAGGGACATGTGCAGAGCATCGTTGTTTTTTTCTACAAACTGAGTCTGGGGAAGACAATGATGCAGTTATGTATGAGGGACAGTCCATACGTGTCATTTTATCACATGATGACTGTAGCATCAAGTAACAACTTGCATGTACAAATGAGAAATCATAGATTCAACAAATACAAAACCTTCCATCACTTCAATACTTTCAATTAAGTCATTTAGTAGTAGGTGAAAGTACAGCTTTCGACGGCCATGCACCCCAACAGCATGCCAGCCCCCTTCCACATGCAGGCTGTCTGCCGGTGTGCCTCGGCGGGCTAGTACAGCCGCGGTGACAGCAGGCCCGGGCTCGTCCCGACGAACCCGCGGCTGGTGAAGGGGCCAGGTCATCCGTCACACTGGAATAGGGTTGCCAAATTTCAAAATCGTACCGGCGGGGGAGCGTCCTGCCAGTCCGGGAGTCGTCCTAGGATGCGTGCCATTTGAGGGGAAAACTCTTTGTTTTCCCCTCAAATCGCGTGGCCCCGCCCCCAGCGTGCGACGTCACTTCCGGGTGACGCGCACGCCGGGGCGGAGATCCCACCGGACCCCGATTCCCCGGCGTCGGATAACGGGCCTCCGGGGCGGGGGGAATTCCGCCCTACCGGGGGGGTTGGCAACCCTACACTGGAACAAAGTAAGACCCTTCCGCCCACTTCCCCCCGTCCCCAGACCCTGGGGCTGTGCTGCATGCGGTGGCCTTCGGGCTGGCTTAACGGGTCTTCAGCCAAGTGGTGCACCAGCCCCCACCAGCTCGCAGCCTGGTTGCCAACGTGGCTCGGGCCTCGGCAGTCCACGACGGCTGTGCCAGTGGTGGCAGGGGCGGGCTCGGGCCGATGACCTCGCGGGCGGTGAAGGGGCCAGGACGTCCGTCGCATCAGAGGAAAGCAAGGCCCATTCCTTCTCTCTTTCCGCCCTACCCATACCGCTGGGCCCTGCTGCATCCAGTGGCCTCATCATTTCAGTTCCTTTCCCCATCCTTTAATCATTATATTGAGAGTTCCCTTTTGGCCTTCAGACATCAAATAAAGATGTTCCACAGGCCTTCAGTGACTACAGTCATACTTTCTCTGGTTTTTATGGACTGTGAAACATTTTAATTAATATTTTAGCACAATTTTATGGTTATTAGCTGACCAGTGGGCCTGAAATTGAAAAGGTGGGATAAATTTTTTAAATAAAATTAAAGCTTAAAAGCTTCTCAGTCTAATGTATTATAAACATCAATAAGCTTGTATATAAAATAAAATTCCTAGTGTTTCACACAGCTGAGCCTTCTTTATCTGCCAAACCATGTCTTACAATGATGTATTAACTAATCCTTTATTACTAAACTATTTAAAAACCAATACAGAAAGTGACACATTTAAGAAAATCAAGTTCGCTTACCGTCTCATAGCATACTGCTCCTGCAAAATGTCTGATTATAAAGCCCTCATCATCTCGGACATTTCTGTGAACAGCCAGCTTAGACTTCCTAGGTACCTGCAATTACAAAAAAACAAGAACAAAAAACCACACACAGATCCAAGCTATAAAGAAAATCAGAGACCACAGATCATAAACTTATTTCAAATTTATTGTTACAGTCAACGACCAGTACACACAGTCATTTTACATAAAAACATTTGAATAATAAATATGAGATAAGACTAACAGTGGCATACTTAAATTTTAAAAACTGTGACTATAACATAGAGATAAAATAAGACAGCCACAAAATTTGTGTATAATTTAGATAAAAGATTTAAAAATCTAATTGCTATGCATTTTACGCTCCTTGTAAACCTGGGCACATAATCTAGCCACCTGTCTTGTTGTCTGGTGGTTCCTATCAGACAGGAGGTAATCAAGTTTAATTTTATTTGATCTGCCAGGAAACCTTTCTAACAGCAGACTGTCTCCATACGGATCACCCTATGGTATACGCAGTTGAAAAATATGTGTTCTAGAGAGCCTACTTCATGGAGGGGGCAGGAGCAGAACCTCAGTGAGTAAGGGGACCCTTTAAACCTCCCTTCCATCACTGCAGACGGCAAGGACATGCTTCTGGCTAACAAGAATGCCCTTCTTGAGTTACTGGATTCAAGAAAATGTAAATAGGCTGCGACTATATATCTGGTATTTGCTAGAGAGACATAGCCAGGAGAACTGAGAATATCCAATTGTCTTTCGGTGTCAGTCACTCTCTGCTTAATAAGTGATTTTGCTTGATCTATACCAAGATCCAGAAAGGCTTGGAGAAAAGCCTAATTTCTGGATGGAATTCAAGACTGCTCTATGCCAATTGGATTGAAATTGGTCCTCCAAGATTAAAGGGAACAGGCCCCTGGGGTTTATATTTCCTGTTACCCATCTATAAATTGAGAGGATACGAATTCTAGCCTCTACCCGAAGCATTCCTGTTTCCAGTCTGACCCAAGTGTTTAAAACATACTTATGTACTCGTAATAATGCTCTAAGGGTTTTATACTGGACTCTCTCAAGTGAGGTAAAGGAGGGAGATGGTGGCCCCAGGAATGTTCCATAAGTCAGCTGAGCCAGTGACTTCGCTTTAAACAATCTTTTTTAAAAATTTGTATTGATGTCTTACATTTCATATCCGTTCATAATCCTTTTAATCAAATTTACATAACCAAAAATCAAATACATCAATTTTCCCCTGTATTATTCCCTACCCCCCCCTTCACGAGCGACCAGCAGAAGAACCTTATTATTATATCTGTAACCATGAGCACACCCTATAGAGTTTTATCAATACATCGTTATTGGGGGCCCCTTCTCTTACCCATCTTATATCCCCAAACCATTTCTTCCTTATCTGCAACGCCTTATTTTCCCATGTCTTTTCCTGTTTTATTATCAATAAAATATCTGATTGAATCCATTCATATAAGTACCAATTCCATCTTTCCCAAGTCCATTTTAAGGCATCTTTCCATCCATACGCTATTATTGCAGCATGAGTCATTAAAACCATAGCTTTAAATAAATCATTTTTGGATTTTTCTACTTTATTATTACGCAGAATTCCCATAAATAACACTTTTTCATTCAGCTCAATCTTAACGTTACATAAATTATCACAGTAAAGGGAGAATTTTTTCAGAGCCCGTTTCAGCCCTATGGGAGTTCTGGAGAGTATTACGGCATCATCCGCGTATAAATAACACATGGATGTGCCAGTTTGCTAGTTTAGGGGGATGAAATCCAGGATCTGACATAAAATTTGCCAGATTACTGATGTAAAAAAGAAACAAAGAAGGGGCTAGGAGACAACCCTGCCTGACTCCCTTAGAGGTTTGGACAGGGTCAGCCAGATGCCCTAGACGACTGCACCTAACTCTAAGGGCAGTTTGCTCGTGAATGGCCTGGACGAGAAATAGCAGTCGTTTATCGATTGTGGAAGCCTGTAATTTCCCCCAAAGCCTAGATCGGGAAACTGTGTCAAAAGCTGCTTTTAGATCTACAAATACAGCGTAGAGTGATGTTTGTCCACCAGAGCCGTATTTTTCAATAAGATGTTGTAACATCAAACAATGATCTAGCGTAGACCTACCAGCTCTAAAACCTGCTTGCTCTTCCACTATAATATCCTCCAGCTCTAACCAAGCCAAAACATTTTCAAGCAGATGTTTAGTATAGAGCTTACTTATAGTACTTAAAAGACTGACTGGTCTATAATTTGATGGATCCTCTTTCTTTCCCTTCTTATGAAAGGGGACAACAATGGCCATAACTGAATCTTTGGGGGTAAGGTCAGTTTCATCAATAAAGGTGAATAGGGAGGCTAGCAAGGTGGCCCACCAGTCCTTTTCCGCCTTAAGTAATTCCGGGGGGATTCCATCTAGACCGGGAGCTTTATCATTCTTTAGCTGAAAAATGTAAGCTTTTACCTCTTGAGCAGATACTGGGGCCCATTTTTCCAAATTTGCTAATGTAATCGCGGGAGAAAATTGTATGGGGTCTTTATACATGTTTTGGAAATAGGATGTCCATATATCTGGGGGATACTGGAGGCTAACAGAGAAGCAGCGGTTGATGTATTATTAGACACCAGTCTCCGGAATAGAGATGTATTTTTATTCCTGGCTGCTTCAATTAAATTGGCCCACCTTTCTCTAGGGTATTCTTTCTTCCGTCTATCTACCAGGAGTTTATATTCCTTCTTTTGAGCTGAAAGAAAGCTATAGGCTTCCTGCCTATTCTTTCCCTCAGCCCTCCTTGCTGAATTGTATGCGGTGGATAGGGCATTTTTAGCTTTAATACAGCTTTGGTCAAACCATGGTTTAGAAGGAAAATTCTTCACAGCTTACCTTCCTTCTGGAAAGCATACTAGGAATGATCTTAATGACTGAATCAGGTCATCATACATTTTTAATGAATGTTCTGGATTTAAAGGGGCTTTAAAGGCTTGGTAGAAAAGTTGGAGATTCTGAGCTGTTAGAACTTCCTTCACCTTTAGATCAAGCTTAGGGGACCATTTAACATAACAGCCTTGAAGTTCCATCGGCATAATATTTATAGGATATGTTGTATGTATAGCCTTTATGTCTAGGCACACTTGGAGATGGAGTGAGAAATGATCACCCTCTAGATAGGGGCAAATTTGAATATTGTCCACCAGGGATAGCGATGCTCTATCTACCAACATATAGTTGACTGTACTAGTTCTTGTCCCTGCCATAAAGGTGAATTCGTCCAGGACATCTCCTTTCATAGAGCCATTTAGGATATACATGCAGAGGTCATTTCGGGGGGGATCGCGGGGGATCGCAGTTCCCCCGGGTGAGGTACAGGGGGCGGGGCACATGATGAAGCCCCGCCCCCTGCTTCCGGCCGCCCCGCTTCCGGACCTCATTCAGCCAGGAGGAGGCAGGAAAAGAGGGAGGAAAGAGCAATAATTTGAATACAAGTGACCTCTATTGGACTAGAAAGCCTCACCCCACACTGGTCCCACACTGACCAGTTTTATAGAGAGGATTCAAGTCCACACATAGGACCAACATAACAGACAGATGTGCAGAAAACATGCACTAGATTTATAACTTTATCTCCCTTTAATTATTCCCATAAAAATAAGTTCTGAAGAGAGTGTTAAGTTGTCAATGACCATCACTTTTCTCCTAACTCTACAGAGAACACTCAACTATGCTCAGTAACTATACAGCCTGTCACAGTAATCAAGAGTATTCGCTGAAAATAACTAGGTTTATCTTCACACGGGCATAAAGGATAACATCCA